GCTACGAAGCAGTACTGATAACCTCTCGTGCGGGTTGCTCCAGGCAAGCAATAGTGGCCGCCATACTCCTTTCGTTTCCCGAAAGCTCATGTCGAATCACCCTGCCGTAGACGTGAGGGTGGATGCGTATTCGTATCATGATACTGGCACCGCACAGCTCACGATTGGTGATGGCGCTGGCCTGTTGTATCCTGCTGTCCTTCCACGCTACCTTCGTCTCCCGCAGATTGGTTGCTCTGAGCTGGCTTGACGTGTCGCAGAGGCGTCTTTGCGCAACCCCAGCCCGCCAAACATCTCCATTGTGCCCTCGTCTGCCTCTCGCGTTGCCCTGGATGTTGTGTAGTAGTCCCTATGCGACACGGGTAGTCTCCTTGTCATATCCACACAACTCGATTGCATGCCGTGATCGCTGGAAGTAGGCCCCTGGTATGTCCACGTCTGCCCACCGCATTCATGGGACGCGTGGGATGTGGTATCCACTTTGCCGTCGGTTGGAGGTAGGTTTCAGGATCGATGGTATGACAGGATGCTGGACGGAAGTAAGCAACATGTAATCGTTGACGGGATGTAGCCTACTGTTTGAACTGGAGGCAGCGAGAAGTAACGCCTTGCCATGCCGTTCCATCTCCACTGCTCGGGCGATGCCTATACGCCGTAGTGGGTGTGCTTGGGTATCCAGTCATACTCAGGCAGCGTGTCAAGCGTGAGGTCAAACTGGCGTATGTCAAAAACCAGGACAGTATCGCCGCGAGTCTCTGGAAGCCGTAAGCCGTGGGCCGTGGCGAGTAGACTGATATCCGTAGACAATTTCCCAGACTGAGGCTCGCGGGCTTTCCGCAGCCATCCAGCTCGATGTCTGGGTGTGTAGCGGGAAATATCGGAGGTTTAGCTCGTCATGTTGTCGAACTTGAACGGTCGCAGCAGGCATGGGGCAAGCATAGTCGACGCGCAATTGAGGCCTCGAAGCACAAAAAAGACATTGCATGCGACACTCGTCGGGCACCGCTCGTGGGCGGGGGCTGTGGGTCTTTGCCGAACATGAAGTTCCCGCACGTCGCGATGGCTGGACGCGCTAATCTGAGAAGGGTTTGGCGCGGGCGCATGTCAGGGTTTACGTTGACGCACGTTACCCCGCAGCGCTAAGAGCGCGCCACCTGGGCAGCATCCATGTTTCGCCAGACAGAACGGCGCCCGGCTAAGAGGAGTATCAGGCATCCTCGTACGAACTGTCCATGTCTTGCCTTGTACTTTGACAGTGTCCTAGTGCCCCAACGCTCAAACACTACTACCTAGGTGTCCGTGATGTTCCGGTCCGAGCTGGCCTCAAATGTGTGTACGTTACAACACGCGGGAAGAGACTCGATCGACCACGAGAAGCGACACGGCATTCTTTACAAACGCCAGAAGGAGAGGCATGACACGGACATGCTGAGTACGTTCCGTCGATTCGGTCTCGGTCACCGCGGCTTATTGAAATGGAACATGTGGATTTGCACTGGCACTGGAGTAACGTGATGTGGGTTACCGGGGCATGTGCCCGAGTACAAGACTCCATCGGCACAGAGTATCACACCAGGCTTGCAACCACAGGTGCGCGGTTATTCGAGGGGTATAGAATGACTATGTAATACGAGAGTCGAAGGCGTAAGTAGAAAGCGTGGCAATCAAGATTTCAGAATCCCGAAAGTGGGTCAGACGTGACCGCATTCCAGCTGGGTTTATTGCCGCATGCTCATCAGTAATACAGTGACAGTTTTCATGTGGATTCGCGGTCGAGACACCCACGATTGACACCAATGGAACGTACGGCATTGCATGTGGGACGAGAGTTTCTGGTTACATTGTCATTGGGTATCTACTGTCGAAGACCGTCAAGCCTGGGTAATCTGCGTTCAGCCAATACCGACGGCACATCCCCTCGTCGTCCTCTGTGGTACCCAGTCATTCGTTCCTGTCTTGCATATCGCTGGCTGTCTCGCCTTAGTCATCGATCACCATCGGATCATCCACGGTGGCGCCAGAGAGGTGGGTGGCGACAACAGAGCGATCTTGGGCAGATGCGTCGTCGCTCGACTCGTGCCACGCATTTAGGTAGACCCTTGCTCGGAGGTAACGATCGGGGCCGACCGTGTTGTCGAGAGCCTCCAGTCGAGCCTCTGTCAGAACGCGGAGATCTTGGTCGGCTGCAATGACGCTTTCTTCGGATTCCCTTTCGGCAAGTCGCAAAAGAAACACGTCTCGGACAACGTGCACGATAGAGGTATCGGAGTCAGCCTCATGGAAACGCATGCGAAGTGCGTACTCGTGGTCATCAATGAAGTCCATAGCAGCTTTCTCTACAAGGTGAGATATCTTCCGGTCATCTTCATCTTCGCGCTCCATGACTTGGGGCCACAGTGCGGGAAGCCGAGCAGCGATAGCCTCTAGCCACGCCCTCATGCGTTGGTCATCGCCCACTCCAGCGGAATCCAACTGTTGACCTGCATCCATGTGCGATGCTTGCTCAAAGAACCATGACGGAACCTTCTGGGTGACCCAGAACAAGTTGTAGCGTGAGAGGTAAAGCCAGATCGCGAGTGCGTACGGCGCTTCGTGAATACATCCACGCTGCGTCTTCAAGAAGCCGGAGAGAAACAGGTGTATGGGCTTGCCAAGCTCGTCGCGGTAATCAGCGTGTTCGAAGCTGTCCGCATCTACGTAGTCGATGTTGTCAATGAACCGGTCCCTGGTCGCCGGCAGGCCTCCAGGCACGGCCCAACCCGCATCTTGGAACACGGTGAACCATCGTAGCAACGTCTGCGGAGACATGGTGGACTGCAAGCTCGGTGCTTGGTATGCTCCGTAAGGGGAGGTCGTCGGTCCAGCCAGCGCTACGCCAACCTCCAAGGCCAAGGTCTTGAGGACATGATGCTGCTCCTGCAGGACATTGATTTTCGCTTGAAAGAAATGAGTCATTGTCTTTGCGTTTTGCTGATTGTGCTCAAGCCCCTCCCTGAGGTCTTCCAAAATCTCGAGCCTATCCTCGGCCGACCTGCATGTGCTGGACCACAGCTCCCAAGCTTCGGTCAGCGCCTTTCTGTTCTCGACGCCGGCGCGAGCTGACATGTCGTGGATGAGGTCAGCACCGGTCGGCTTGTTCTTGAGGTCGTGGTGGATAGCGGCGTCATTGGATTCATCGCGAGCAGACACTTCGTCGGAGCTGTCGGCAGGCTTACTCTTGAGGTTGAGGTGGGTAGCGCTGGAGGCGGCGAGGTCATCGTGTGGAGCCAGAGCTGCGTCGGCAGGCTTGCTCTTGGGGTCGTGGTAGGCAGCGCTGGAGGCGTCGGCGCCCGCAGGCTCGTCATTGGGGTTGTCATGAGCAGACATGTCGTTGGTGATGTCGGCAGGCTTGCGGTTGGGGTGCTCGAGTGAAGAGTAATCGGCCATGTTGCTGTCGTCCTTCTGTATAGACGCGACGTCGAGGGCGTTGGGATCCGCCATGGAGTGAGGAATGTGAAGAGATAGTGGTTGGGAAATCAGCGCACCGTGTATCGACCTCGCTTATTCACCGAAAAGTGAAAGCAACCTCACGGATACGGAGAGGCAAGGCCAGGTGACGTCCGCGTGGGAGGGCCTTCTCACCATTGTCGAAATGTTATTCACCTCACCAGCACAGCGCTTCAGTTCAATGACGTCGCTGTAGCGCCCTGACCCCCTTTCCAACCTGCTAACGTGGAGGAGCTCTATGTGAGGCAAAGATGCGTAGCAGAGGCTTCCACTGTCGGGCATCACATGATAGTTAGAGTCCGTCATCCGTCCCGAAGTCTCTTCTCTTGCCCAATAGCAAGAACAATAGAGTGCGGCTTTGATTCAGATTGCGGCTTGGTCATTGAGAAGACACAATAGAGCTTTCTAGGAACGGAGTGTTTCTAATCCGTGTTGCATTGTCGGCCTGGATCGCGAGAGGCCTCACAGTGCGATGCGCATCTTGCCCACAACTGTTTTGTAGATGAGACGTACGTAGTCCATCACTTGACGCATGTGCGAAGCGTTTTCGCTCAGCCTGTTTCGCGATCGATTCTTGGAAGCCGGTCTCCATTCGTGAAGTTTTCAATGTAGTCGCCTCGAACCTGAGCACAGCAGTCACGACGAACCTTGAAGTGTCGCTCATCGGTGCTTGAAGAGCCCCGTCGCCAGCATGGATCACGGCGAGTGACAAACAGCATGCTGTAATGGGGTCTAGTGGAGAGGCCTCGCGCCATTTCATGATGCCCACCCCGACGACTATGCGCCCTCGCGATAGCACGCAACCTTGGAAGCAGACGACTCACCAGCCAAGGATGCATAGGCCGGAGTTTGGCGACTTACCTGCAGCAGGGCAGACGCCGACAAGGGCCGAGCCGCCGATTGCGTATCGAAAGATGCACAGGCGCTCAAGCACAGCTGATCACCCATATGGGTTGTCGTTTAGCGCGCAGTCGATGACCATAGGACTATAATCAACGGCTTTCTACAACCTGCCTAATTAGGAAGTCCTCCACAACATCTAGCTCGTTGACAGCACCGCAAGCAGTTTTAGAATTAAACAACGGCTCCGACCAAAACGCTCGACTTTCCAGAAAGCACGATGCAACAGACGCAAGAGTGCGCAAGTTACTATCCGATTTCAAAATACAAGCTGCGCGAGACGAGCATCGCAGCTTTGCCGTATTCCACGGAATCAGCCCTATACCACGGCCTGGAAAACAAGAACGTCCAGGGCCTGTCAGAGATGAAGTGCGGACCCTATCGAGCGATTTCGTGACATATAATGGCATTTTCTTTTCTTTCGGCACTACACGATGGCCTTGCATCACCGGCACAGTGGCAAATTTCATGTATCACATTTCACAATCATAGCGCGTGGGGGTGCAGCAAAACTTTTATCTTGCTCAATGTACCAGAAAGTCATCCTTCACAGCTGCCGTAGGACAGCCCTGGCTCAAAGCATCATAGAGTCATCCTCCTTTACTCATCTTCCGCTAGTCATCGTGCGCATCACCTTCTTTCCAGATTTGTGCCTGATGGACGACCTCGGCGACCAACGCCTTCTTGCCTTTATCGTCGTGGATAGTAATCAAGAGCTTCACGTAGCCCCTAGCCATTTCAGCATGACTAGATGCATCTTCATCATAGGCCCACCAGACGCAGAGCATCGCTCGCAACAACCTTGAGTCATCAGAGAAGAAGGACTTATCGTCGAAGTACTCCTTGAACTTTGCATGCCGCGCAGCTGAATCCCAATCAGGAGGGGCCCAATTGTGGTAATCGATCTCGGTGAGAACGGCTTTGAGCTTCTCCAGAGACGCTTCAATAGCCTGACCACTCATGTAGTTTCTCGACATGGGATCCTTTGGCTCGGAGTGGCTATACTCTAGCTCCCTCAACGTGTTGGTCATCTGCCTGAGATACGCACCACTGGTGGCGGGGTCAGTCCATGGGTAGACATATCCGTCCGGGTTGTCAGCCCGATCACCACGGTAATCCTCGCGGTCCTCGAACAGCGAATCTTTGTCATCGGGTGTATCTTCCCTCTTGATAGGGTTGCCGGCTGGTGGCGCGGCTGGCGGCGCGGCTGGTCGTGCGAGGGGTCGTGCGGTCGATCGTGCAGCTGGTGGCGCGGCTGGTCGTGCGGTCGATCGTGCAGCTGGTGGCGCGGCTGGTCGTGCAGTGGGTCGTGCAGTCGATGGCGGTATGGTTGGTAATGCAGCTGGCGGTATGGTTGGTAATGCAGCTGGCGGTGCGGTTGGTTGTGCGACGGGCGGTGCAGCTGGAGGCGGGAATTTGTCTGGTAATCTCCGCCTGATAGAATTATCGACGTCTTGAAGAATCTGGTCGAATCGCTGTTCCCCAGCATAGCCCTTGATAAGAGCGAGGTCATCTTCTATAGTACGGAAGTCATCAGACCAGTGTCCAGGCCGACGAGATGCTTCATCCAAGTGCTGCGGCTTGCTGTGAGAAGGCGCTGTGAAGTCATCACGCTTCTGACTATTTGACCGCTCTCGCTTCGGGGTAATCTTCTCGCCCTTGTCGCCCTTCTTTTTGGGGGTTGCGATCTTCCTCGCGGGCGCCTTGTTTGGAACTTCGATGCGGTCTTCGGAGCGGTCACAGAGCCTGCCCCAGATCTCGATGGCCTTGGCCTTGCTATCCCACTGGAAGTACCGGATCCAGTAAGGACGCAGCCTCTCAGTCGGTATGCCGGGAAACTGCTCCCTCAGCAGGTAGCGCATGCGCGCCTGTCGCTGCGACACAAACTTTCCCAGCGGTTTGTCGGCCTTCTTGTCGAGCTTGCAGCATGGCAGAAAGTCGGACTCGCCGTAAGTAGCGAAGGCGTGAATCACGCCATCCAAATCCCATTTGGCGACGACAACGTCGGTCATCTTCTTGCGGGCCTGTCCACATACACCGCATGTGTGCCGACGGGACGTGTTCCAGACAGCTTCCCACACGTGCTGATGCGTGCACCGCCAAGCTCCGCGGTACCTTGGACCCGTCGCTAGGGCGCCAGAAGGCATGCTGTTGAGGTCATCCATCTCCAGTTGGCAGGGGATGAGGCCGTAGTGCTTGTGGGCCGGTATCCATTCGTTGAGTTCCGGAATGGTGTCGTTGTGTATGTCGAATGACTTGATGTCGAATGACTTGCCGCTCACAGTGGTGGCTTTTGTAGTCATCCTGGTACCTTGGTCTTCCAGGTGCTTCTTGATCTGCGTTGAGTAATCGGGGTGTATGCGCTTTTCTACGCTGGCGTTGTGGATCTCTCGCATGACGTTGCGCGCTTCTCGGTTTCGCTCATGCAATTTGGCCTGCCTCAGTTTGGTATCCCGCTGGATGCGTGCCATAAGTGACATTTTCGGTGGGGTCTTCGTAGAGGCAGCCACTTGGCTTGCGTGTGGTAGCATAGTTTCTGTGGTCCCTGTTTAATGGTCAGCTAAACTCTACATGTAGTGGGTAATCTTGTACCTCAGGGACAGTTGCTGTGTTAAGATCCAATGGTTAAGAAACTGGGTGGGGGAGAGGGTAGGTGGGAGAGAGTGGGTAAGTGAGAGAGAGTAGGAGGGAGAGTGCAAATAGCAGATGCGCGTTATATAAGCACGGTCCTCACCGCGCAGGCAGCAGGTGAGAGAGATTTAGAAGTCAAGGTGACCAGCGTTGATAAGCAGGCTTGTTACCGCCATGCACCGAGTCTTTAGCAGAACTAAGCTATCTTGAGTAATCATTTCACACGCATCCAGAAGGCGATGTCATCTGGCTTTGAGCCTTCTCGGAGCTCATCTGGCAGCGCACACCATATCACCGAGTAATCCTCTTCGCCCTGCAACTGTTCCAGCCTAATGCATGGTCGGTGTTTCTTGATGCACGTATCGCAGGCCAGTGTGCGGTCATCCCCAGCCTGCTTCCACGTGGAATTTCTGGCACCCTTTGCCGCGACAGCGTTGCTAACGCATGGGTGGGCCGACCAGGTACCGGGATTCCGGCTTACTGTCGCCCATTGCAACCTGCGCGTGCCCTGTGAATCGAGCAGGACATTAGTCATCGCGTTGGTGATCGCACTTGTTGTATCTTCTGAGATGCTGTTGTAGTTAACGTCGCCATGGCGGCTGTTGGCATCGCCCCGCGGGATGCGTAGAACCACTGGTAGATCAGTCTCGCCCAGCTGTCGTGGCTTGAGGGTTGGCTTGTTTGGCATTACCATCCGAGGGCGAGGGGGTCGAGGTGCTAGGTCTTGCTCTGGTGCTTCGGAAATCTGCTGGGGGGTTGTGTTGTCGGCTTGCTCGTGCATGACGCTGTCTGAAGCTTCAGTAATCTGCTGGGGGGTTGTGTTGTCGGCTTGCTCATGCATGACGCTGTCTGAAGCTTCAGTAATCTGCTGGGGGGTTGTGTTGTCGGCTTGCTCGTGCATGGCGCTGTCTGAAGCTTCAGTAATCTGCTGGGGGGTTGTGTTGTCGGCTTGCTCGTGCATGACGCTCTCGGACGTTTCGGTAATCCGCTGGAAGGGTGTGTCATCGCTGGCTTGCTCGTCCATGACGGCGTACGCCAGGTCTTCGTCCGGTGTGCACATCCAGTCTTCGGGAGACGGCAGATATTGCTCATCGTGCGGTTGAGTCATTAGGTCACTGTTTACGGTAAGCAGCTGCATTGTTGTATAACTGCACAACTTACTCTTCGTACTCGCCAAATGGGCCTGGACCACCCGCATTCTGCTCGCACACAGCTTCCTCCGGAGACAGAGGCGGAGCGTCGGTCATTGCTGTTTCGCTAGTCGTTCTGTCAGGCACAGAGGCGAAGTCGTCTGCTGTGCCGCTGCAGTCATTAAAGCGGAGGGACGACGTGCACAGAGGCGGGCCATCATCTGCTGCATACTGACCAAGAGGCGGTGGAGAGCTGTCGGTAATCATGGATTCGCTAGGAGGTAATCTGAGCCTTTCTTTCATCGCCATGTTTGCTTTGACTAGTGCAGGCATAACGTTCTCAAGGTAAGCGACACCCCGATTGGTAAGGTTCATGGCGGTGTCAAACTTGGTCCGGGTCTGTTGGGTCCTCCACGAACTCAAGGGGAGCCCAAACTCAGTCGGCGTGTTGAGCAGAGTCATCCATTCTGCCAGGGGATTGATGTCGATGGGTACTTCGGTAGGCTTCAGAGTTGCTGGGGCTCGTGCAGTGAAGTTGGTATATGCAGTCTGGAGCCTTGTCTCCAACACCGCTGCAGACGGTTTCGGCTTCTTCTGCTTTTTGTTCTGTTGCGGGGTCATGATGACGAATGAGGAATGAGGAATGAGGAATGAGTAATGAGGAACGAGGAATGAGAGATGAGGGATGAGGAATGAGGAATGATGGATGAGGAATCAGTGATGGCGGATGAGGAATCAGTGATGGTGGATGAGAAATCAGTGTGGGTGGATAAGCAGAACGTACGATATTGGGCCTCGCAGAATTTTACCCCGCCGCGATAGTGGTGACCGTCGTGCTTTCCATCCACGGCAATCGCGCCATCGCAGGAGGCGTGCTTTCCGTGTGCACCCATAAACCTGCAATCTGCGGGGTATGTCTTGTAGCAGTCTCTCACCATCCTCTGCCCGTCCCTGTCCGTGTCCCAGCAACACCCACCGCCAATAGCCAAAGATGGGATCCGTTCCATCCGTACTCTTCAACCTGGATGACCCCCAAGACTGCCAGCGTGCCGTCCGGCGCTTGAGAGCGCTGTCGGCGAGTGACGCGGCCAAAAACATAGAGCATCTTCCAGCCGATATAGCTCGGGCTCTGCTCGCTACTGCTCTGCATGATTACCACCGAATCGATCTCGCGGTCGCTGGCATGCCGGAAGACCACCAAGCCGCTGCCCCAGTCGCTGGTCGCCACGGTAAGTTGCAGATGGACTATGTTCGAGCGTGTGGGCTGACCAAATACAGCTTTCCAGGAAGATAACTTCGGTCCTGATCCTGATGAGGCGGGGTCTTCCCATCGACAGCATTACCCATACACCGGCCGCTACCTGCTCGCTGGTTCGCTCACCAATAGCGAGTTCGGCACAGTTGATGCCGCTAGCTATCGGTCTGACTTGAACCCAAAGCGCAAGGCTGCTGGTGAGTCCATCCGCCGCAGGCACTGTCAGCGAGTTGAACTGACGCGTTACAGATGACTATGGCGATAAGAGTATCTACTCTGGCAAGAAGCCCCGGGTCAACAAGGAGGAGTAATGAGCCCAGCCAACCTAGGATGACTGACGTCCACAAGCGTGTCTAGTCTTCTGTCTGGCCACCCGGTCATTGATGCATGTTTCCATATTACCGTAGATCCAACCATGACGTTTGCTTGACTTTTCTTCAAATCTAAATGACGGTGACGGTGAAATTCGCGTATCTCGTTTGTGCCTGTGCGCGCGGTCGTTGTTGCCTTGCCAAGCCCTCGCTCTTTGTCCACCTTGCTCTTGCTATCCACCCTGCACTCAATTACCTCGTAACCACGACAATCAAGTCGCGAGAATGAGATCAACAAGCGCAACTTTGCCGTCGTCAGCGGTGCCACGAGGGCCCGTCCCAGACGAAGTCATTAGTGAGAAGACAGGTATGTTGATGGCTCGTTGCGCAAGACCAAGCTGACCTTGTTACAGAGGAACTCACACGAGAGCACGTGAAGAATCTCTCAAAAGATGACCGACACATGTCGATTCAGCTCTTCATAGAGGAGGCATCCGTGGTACGCGTTGAGGACGTCGCTGCCAGGAAGCTTCTAGAAGAGAAATGGCGCTTCGTTGTTCAGGATGACCAAAGTTTCGAGGGTAAGTCTTCTCGAGTCTTTCTGGAAGCGCATACTAATACAGTCAGTGCCGGACGAGATCCTGCGTACCCTCCAGGTCATTGTCGAGGCGAGACCATTGGAAGAATTACCCCTACCCGCTGCCTTTAGCAACGAGATGATCGGCCCTGTGCAGCCGCCACCCGACCTCGAGTTCAAGGCAACCAAACTCTGGACCAAGATATCGCGCACTGAGCTCGCGGCCTTCCATTCGTACATGCCCAGATGGGTAGATAACCAGGACCACAAGCGGAAGAAGCTCCACTTGCAAATGCAAGATTACTACACAAAGTGGATTACTCTGCGGCACCACGTCGCTGCCCTCGCCCGACAGACTGACACGCACCGCATGCAGACTACTATCCGGAACCAGCGCGACCACGCCCGCCGTCAGGATGACAGGATCAAGTTGCTAGAGGCCGAGCTGCTGCTCCGCGGAAGGCTGGCTGACGTCCTGTTCGCTCGCGTCAAGGACACGGATGACTGCGCCCGCACCAGGGAAGCTGGATTACTGAACGAACTGCAGCAGTATCGCCACGCAGAGGCGACCCAGCTCAAGAAAGAAGAGAAATCCCTTGAGAAAGCACAGGAGGTGCTGCAGGGTGGTTCTGATGACCTGAGCACGTTGGTCGAGGATGTCGTTACCCTGCGACAGGCGCGCACCCGGCTGAACCTTCAGCAGCAGCCCCCCAATGTCGACGATTACCCCCCTTCGCCGCTGAGCAAGGCCGACCTCGTTAGGCTCACGGAACAGGTGAAGAGCAAGCTTGAGGGTGTCGCGGTGGAAAAGTTGCAAGACATGGCCTTTCGAGCTGGGTATGCCAAGCGGGATGCCGAGCTGGTTAACTTCAGGGCTAGCCTGCGTCATCCTGAGGAAGAGAAGACCAGCGGGCAGTATGCCTTTACGCAGAATGACCTGAGACTCGCGATTGAGCTCAAGCGTAAGGAGATCCGAGATGACTTGACAACCCAGAACCACCGCCGGAAGTGGCTTGACGCCGAAGCACAGTTCGCCGTCAGCACCCACATCGCTATGGTAGCCACCGCCAACGATGACGAGTTCCCAAAGTCGAATTACAAGATCGTTACCGATCACGGTCGCTTCACAGAGAACCAGCCGTCTAAGCTCGCCGATCGCGTAGCCAACTTCGTCTTTGGTCGCGGCCTGCATCGGGAGCCGACTTCTAGGTGGTATCAGGTAGAGCGGATGACTCCCGACTGGTCACTGTTCTCTTTCCGTGCACACCCGCGCAACATCCAGGAGCGTGAAGGCGGCTACTTCCACCGTCTCGGAGTGCGATGCGAGCTGCTGAGGCTCGGCACCTCGTGGGTTGCAATTGGCTTCGAGCAGAACATGTGGGATGATGACGGAGACCGTGCAAATGGTAGGTGGATGGATGACCCAGGCTTTGTCGCTGAAGACGACGAGGAGTGATTACCGAGGAGTGATTACCGAGAGTAACGACGAGGAATAGTGTGGAGCTGAAGGCGATTACCAGTCAACGGATAGGTGGTTGCTCTGGTGGCCGAACAGTACAGTGGTGGTGCACATGTAGCATCATATCAAACATTCCCCAAACTCTTCCCAGTGTATCCCAATGTGTCCTACCTATACCAGTAAGTCGTGTAGCAGCCGTGGTGATGCAAGTGAATCATGGAACCGAACCGATTTGGCGCGTAGGTGTCTCGGCGTCCACCATGACCACCGCTACCACGGCAGCCCTGGAGGTTCACAGCAGAGGGCTTCCTTGATCACACCGTCGTGGGATTGCTACGTGATTGGTGTTGACACTTTGCAGTGCTGAACCAAGAGGGTGCGCCGATCTTCAAGGGGGCAAATGTTCAAGGGGGCAAATGTTCGAAGGGCGCGAGCGACATGCCGAGGCTGCCCGGTGGCAGACCCTGCCCAAGTGGCAACATCGCGCATACGGTACCCAGCCTTGCGACGGCTGCCGATTGCGCGCCACCACGCCTGCCCGACAATGACCATTCCACCCTGCCCCATGTGTGGTTGGCGGCATCTGCCATTCGAGGCACATGCGTTTCCACGACGCTGTCGAACTGACTCCCCTCTAGGATCCCTCCTTCGACCCTACCTCGACGTCTGCAACGCTTCCCACGCCGATCGCACGCGGTAATTCACGCAAAGACATGACGGCCCAGTATTGGATTACGAGCGCTCTCTGAAAGCTATCCAGGAATGTTCCTCGCGATAGAGCAGCTTGCGCGATGCAATTCCAGCCGGCGCGCACTTTTACACCGGGACGGGATTCGTGGCACTGGCTGCGAGGGCACAAACATGCTCACGGTCAGCTCTACGTACCTGCAATCTCTTCATAGCCATCTGTGCCGTTGTGCTGGCTGGCTGCTGACTGCTGTACTGCTGTACTGCTGTGTTGTAAGCACCAGTAAGTCGTCCGGTTGTTGTCTGCTTCGCAGCAGGATCTAACGCGTGAACAGAGTTACAAAGGTTCCCATATTGACGTGACATGCTAAGAGGATGAATATGCTACGGGCTGTACGATACATAGAAGGAAATGACGTCTCCTTTCGCCTTGTTCATTGACCGAACTTACATCACTGCCACATGTGCGTTTAGACAGATCGTCGGCCGAAGCCTTTGAAGTGGTAAGCCTGGTCTAGCATCGTCATCTTCCTTTTGAGGCCATTCCTAGTCATCACCGTCCTTGTGTTTAGTCGATCGAGCGGTCTTCTACCTGCAGGTTGCGCGATGGAAGGTGGAAACTGGCAGTGTCGTCTCTCCATAGTCTGGGCGGCAGTAGGCGGAGCTTGCTTTGGTGCCAGTTGCTCTACTTTGTGATCCTTTCCATTCGGGTCTTCTGCAGTGTCGAGCAGATGGCTAGCGGCGATCTGAAGGGCCCCCGTATGCTCGGCGTGGGCAGCGGAAACGGCTACCAGTGACCTGAGCTCGTCCAGGCTGAGCCTTTGTAGGTACCGGCTTCTCGACGGTGAGGAGAGTTGCATCATGTCATCTCTTAGCGTTATGGCATTGCGCTCATCAAGACTTCGAATGGGATCTGCACGGGTCAGTATTCAGCCACTTAGCAATGTAGGAGGAGGCTCACCAGGCCTTGACAGCACTTGCACTGTATTCACCATGATGCGTAGCACTGACACGCGGCTGCCCCGGTCAGCATGGCTCAGCTTCGCAGTGAGTTCCTCTGTAAGAGCCTGCAGTCGGTCATCTGTCAGATTGGCAAGCAAGTGCTCCTGGTCCTCGACGGGGTAGCGCAACAGGCAGTCCGCGATGCCATCGACACTGTAGATGTTTGCTTGGCTCGCCATCGTCCTTGCCGTATGCGCGAGCGGGTGGGGTGAGTTGTGGGACGATAGGACTCATCCAGCTGGAAGACGGCAGGCACGTCGCCAAGCCAAACAAAGGCTCGTCTGACCTTCGCTCCATTCGACCCTCCACCCTCCACCCTCATCACCACAC